ATGCCTGATAACTGATCCCTCGGCACCTTGTGATCACAAGAAGTTGGCTTCTTCCATGTGGGCTTTGTTGCTTCTGAGCTAGATGGCCGCTTGTTTACCTTCAAGTCTTTAAGATTCCAGACACTGTTTCTTTTGATAGCTGGGCACCATCAGCTTTCTTCACCACATTCGCTTATTCACCCACTTTGTCTTCAGCGGGTGTGTCGAGTAGGTGAGCATCATAGAATGTCAATTTAATAGAAGAAAGTATTCTTGCATTGAGGGAGTACTTGAGTGGAGGCCCAATGTCCTTCTGCTACCTTAATACTAAACCTATAAATATAGGCACATAGATCTATTTCCCCATCCTCATGTATAAATGTATTTGCATATGTACATGTGTTTATCCAGACCTCTATAAATGCCCTTTGCCTCCCAGCTCTTTCCTCTATTTCCTTTGACTTTCCTCCAGTCCCACCATCATGCTCAGTCCCTACCAGGGTTTCAGCAACTCCTTTTTGTTACATTACCCTTGATCATGCCCTACCAGGCTTCCCACACCCTCCTCACCACCAATTTGGGCCAGAGGTAGTGGTGTTAACTAACACAGGGACAAGGGAACAACAAGTGATCCAAATCGGTGGTAAAGTTTTATTTTTTAAGAAAACAAGTTTTATCATACAACATGAGAATTCTTTGTGTTTTTAATCATTTTTTAAAAAAAGATGGCATTAAGCATCACTCAGTAAATTTCTGAAAAAAAGCGCTACTTTTTTTTTTTTAAGTTGGAGATTTAGTAGGTCGCATTTATACAAGGTGAAGAACAGTCAACCATGTTAATGCTCAGGGTCACTGCAAAGTATCACTAAGGTCAGTAGATGATAAGAAAGCAGTAAAAGCTTAGTAATAGTAATAGCATGTTTGGTAGTATTTCTAGACATATGTACATTTCTTTTTTTTAATTAATCATTTTATTGGGGGGCTCTTACAAATCCTATAACAATCCATCATTCAATAATATAATAATAATAGTAAGGAAACTTGTACATATGTACATTTCAATGGAACCATAGTGGTGTAGTGGTAACACGTTGGGCTATGATCTACTCGGTTGGCAGTTCAAAACCACCAGCAGTTCCACAGGAGAAAGACTGTACTTTCTATTCCCATAAGCAGTTACAGTCTTGGAAATCCACAGAGGGGTCTCCATGAGTCAGTATCGACTCGAAGGCAGTGAGTTTTTGAGAGAGGGACACTTAGAGAAGCCCTGGTGGGGTAGTGGTTACAAGGTCTGCAAGGTAAACAGTTCAAAACCATCAGCCGCTCTGAGGAAGAAAGACGGGTCTCTCTACTCTCGTGAAGAGTTCTAGTCTTGGAATCAAACAGTCTCGTAGAGTATCTATGAACCAGCCTGGACTCCGTGGCAGTGAGTTTGTTTATTTTTTTAATGTATATTTAAGTGTGAACAAAAGCTTATTATCTAATAGATACTTTTGAAAGTACAGAAAGTAACTGTAACTGAAGAAAACAGCACTTTACATTCCTTGGGTTCCTACCTTTGATGATAAGGTAAATCCTAAAATTAATGCTCTGTATCTTTATCTTGTGTTGGCTTGCCCTTGCATACAACCTTTCTCAACTGTCTGTCCCCAGAGGATGAAACAAACATCTACTTGGAGTCAGGGGATAAAGAAAATACATATTTTGGCATTTTATTATTCGTTGAATCCTTTAGTGAAATACCTGTTAGACTTCCTAAAAAAATATCAGTAATAATAACCAGTTGTCAAAGAACAGGTGACACAGAAAGTAGAATCGATAGTCTCTTAGGAGTCCAAAATCAAACAAAGAAATAGCTGCCCTGCCACGGGACACCGTGGTTACTGTGGGAGTTCATGTGGTGATGTTGTCTTTAGGATACTTTCTTAAGAATTCTTGCTGAAAAGTGGCTTTTCTGTGACGTTGCATCGACTTTTAGAGGCTCTCTCTCACAGGTACTTAAACCCCACGTCTCTTGAAACTCTTCAGAATCATCTTTCTCCAAGGATATTTCATCTAGCAGGTCTCAAGGTGATTTCACGCATCCCTTCTTAAAGAGAGATTCAGGGTTTTGAGTTTCAGTGGGTGGCAGTCAATGACAATCCCAGACTCTGCCCAGAGGAGAAGTTGGACGTCTTTTCTGTGCTGGCGTTTTCTTTTGCTGTGGTCATTTGAGGAGTAGGTCATAGGTTTATGTCTGTGGGGTAGTTTTAACCTCGCATATTAAGTTTGCTTATTGTGTTTAGTATCTAGCATCTTTTTGGAATGATAATGCATTAATTAAATCTCTATTGCATACATTGTACATATTTTTTTTAATTTATTTTTTTCTTCATTGTACATATTTAATGTATTAAACAATACTTCAAAAAGTAGCCTGCTAAGCCATTTGAAAATTACGATTTCAAAATATGTTCATGTAGCCTGGTTGGGGTGTGAATAATAAGCGATTATAGTAATGCAAAATCTTGAAGGTTGTGCCTGTTATTTCTAATAATAATAAAATAGATAAAACATTGGTGATGTAACTCCCTTATCTTGCTATTTAGAAATGTTGAAATATACAAAGGAATTAAATTGTCAAGGAAGGATACCTTCACATTCACAGATGAAATGATGTTCTAGAGAATAGATAAATAAACTCTAGTACATACACACAATGGAACATTATCTCTTAAACACCGCATGACATGGACGGATTTGGAAGGTATTATCCTTAACAAAGCTAATCCATCTCCTACAGACGGTTACTGCATGGCACCACTGTTACAAAAGAAAAGGCTAAGAAAGATGGTTTTCATGCCAAAAACACATTTTGAAGGCTGTGGCAAGGGGTGGGAGGAGGGCAGATGGGAAAAAGATAGGGCCACATACACAGGGGGCTTACTGGGCTTAACAGAAATACACAACTAAGAAAAATCACATTATCGTGAAGATGTAAAATAGTGCTCAAATGGGCTAATGGTGAACAAATCCTTGGAAGCTCGTACCTATTCTAGGGGAAGGTTTGCATTTTGGCAGTGTGGCTTGGCCTATGCTTTGGTGTTGAGTCTTGCTCCAAGCTAATCATGAGTCTTCCTCTTTTCCCCCCTTTTTAAGTAGGGCACCCCATTCAAAGCCCCAGGTACTGGAGCCCATGTATCTTCCTGACACAGACCTTGGGCCTAACCTAGTCACAACTCTTCTGAAACTTCCTCAGCATTTCCGTTTGAAAGCCCAGTGGCTTCAATTCATGACGTTGTGCTGCTATTGTTGTCAGATGCTGTTCTGACCCATAGTGACCCGGGTACAACAGAACCGCACGCCTGCCTCGTCCTGTGCCAGTCTCACAGCTGTTGATGTTGGAGCCATGGTGTCAATCCAGCTAGTCATTATTGCCATTGCCTCCCTTTAACCGTACAGCTCAATGCAGCTCCATCGAAGCTGAGCACTTCCTGCGGTTCAGTATCGCAAGTGGCACGCGGTGTCACGTACAAAGGAAGTGAATGACCCAGTCCTAGATTCTAGGGTTCTTTTCGCTTACCTGGAAAGACAAGGCACTTAAGAAACAACGTGAGAGTTATAAGACAAGAAAGCCAGTCTCTGTTGGCTTACATAGAGGGTTCATGGTGCATTCATGACTGGGGAGAAAGGAACAACCAGATGGCTGCAATTTTAAGGAAAGACATCGCAGGGAAGATACAGACTTTGAGATATCTCTAAAAGTATGCATTTCAGTCTAGAGAGAAATCCCGGGACTGAAAAGAAAGAAAGAAAATATATTTTAATGACATGATAGTTGCTAATGACAGTTTATTGCTTGGCATCCACCTTCTTTCTATTTTAGTCTGTTTTGACCTACACATGATACTTATAATAAAGGTATTTATAACGGGATTTCTCTGGGAGGCTTTGCTATTTCAGCTTAAGGTCCCTCTACTTTTTCCTGTCAGCTTCCATACGGAGTCAGTAACCAGTAAGTTGACTTTCCGTTCTGAAATTGTAGACCCAGACATCTGTGAAAGTGTGATCATTCTAATATGATAAATACAGCCTTGCACTTTAGAAATTCCGGGCCGGGAGACATTGTGTGACACTTGTGTCTTGCACCTCAATAAGTAGAACTGATAAGGTAAATAGTGAAAAGTAAATGTTATAGCTATTATTTATTTATAATTTGTAACCATTTACTTATGAAAATCATCAGAAGTTTACTGTGTGGAAGCAAGCCAAAAAGTATTGCAACACATTCATTGAAGCCCTTATTGAACAATGATATCACATTGGAGTTGTTGTTTACTGACATATCCTCCATCTATGTCTACACACTTCCAAAGGTGATGTTTCCATCCCTCAAACCATTGCTGAAAGAATTCTACACTCTTTAATTTACACCATGTAAAATGACAGTTTCAGAATTCTCAAGGAATAGAAATTGTGTCCCCCTTGAATGTTCTTTGAGCTTGGGAAGCAAAAAGAAGTCTGAGGGGGCAAGATTAGGGTTTTACTGTGGATGGGCTTTTCCCAATGGAGTTCTCTGTTCTCAATGGTAGGTGTGGACAAAAAGACTAAAAGGCAGTTATTAAAGATACATGCCTGCAAGGCAGACCTGCTGTAGACCACCATGGCTCCATACGACTTGAGTTTTATAAAGTATAGTATAAGGATTAATCCAATAAGCCATAACAACTTTAAGTATATATATATATATATATAAAATATCTATGGTTACCTATAATTTAATATGATATATTCATTATCTACATTTAGAATACTCCATTACACAGCTCTATCTAACTTCCATTTAACAACATCAGAATTCATGGCACAAAATAGAAAGAACTAAGAAATGGGCAAGCCTAAAATCAGAGTTGGAGATTTATAAAATGCCCGGCCCAAAGGGAACATACTAGTTTTTCAGCTCTTGCTTCTGATTAGTGGGGGAGGGACACTTCTTATTCGGATGTGTGGTCACGTCTCTTTATCACTAAACTCTGGGAGAAATTTATGACATTAAATTAAGGACATGTGTAGTATCTGTTCTTATCAGTTTAATACCTGATACGTCCTCTATCCAAGGACAATATAGTAAATTAGTTTTTGGAGCAGGGAGATGGATTAGGAGCTTGCTCCGTCCACTCCACGCGTCGACCTGGTATTGCAGTATTTCCAGGACCGGTGCAAAAAAAAAAAATTAAGAACACGTTCTTAGTACTTGAAGGTTCTAAAAAGATAGAGAAACAATTCCCAAAGTGAGTAAATGATTTAATAATTTCTATAAAATAGAATTCAAGAAAATATATTTAATTCATGATTTTGTGGAGGTAGGTTTAGAAAACATTGTTTTGCCACTTAAATTTATTTTAACACAGGAAGAGAGATTAGGAAACCCCAAATATTAACATAACAAGCTTTCTCTGCATATCCAGTGTGTCAACCAAACTTCTGGCTTGCACAGTCCCCGATACCCTGTTTTACTACTCAGCAAAGGGATCCTTATGTTCTAGGTAACAGAGACGCAGGTGGTTTCTGTTATGAGAATTCTGCCGCTGTCTGTATTCATGTCCATGTGGAGCACCATCCCTCTTAAGCATGGGGGTGGCCTTAGGGGTCCCTTTGGGTAGGGCCAATTTTTTTTCTCAAAATAGAGCTTTGAGTTTTGTCAAGTACTTGGACCGAGCAGGAGGGCACTTGGCGCCAGGAGGAAAAAAGGCATTGAAAGGGGAGGTGGGAGGACACAGTGGACAAATTTGGCTGACTTCACGGCGTTGCCTGGGGTCTGCTCTGGTTTGGAATATGAATTAGGCAGTTTGTGATTGGTACACAATGTCAGATCACAGAAAGAAAATTAGTAGCTTCCCCCCTCTCACTATTCTGTGAAATGAAATCAAGAATACATCTGTTTGTATAGTTACTAAACACAATGGGCTCCTGCAGCCAAGAAGAGATTACATTTCAGGTGAAAGAAGAAAATACACCAAATCAGGAGCAGCACTGATTTTACAATAGCATATTCAAAGGTACAAATTCCGAGCCAACCATTAACTTACATATGTCAGTGAAAGACATGCCAGTTTTTCACCTAGGACATATTTGGATATTCCCAGTTACTTTTTAATTTAAATGCAATAGTTGCATAGAAGGTTCAATGACTCTGATCCAGCACATTTAAGATGACGTGTAATATATATTTTGGGAAAAAACGATGCAGAGACTTCATGGTTTCATATTTTCCTGCCCACGGGGAACACAACAAACTTGTATGTGGACATTTATTTTTCAGCAAGGCAATATAATGAACTAATCTTTCTTTTAAGCATTGACATATTGGGGCACTATTATCAAACTGGGAAATATGGCTTATTGAGCTTCACTTTTAAATGAAGGTACTGCCTCAGGGCTTGAGTGCACTGTCTGCAAAAATAAGAGTGCATAAATCATATTTATTTCGTAACAAGGACCACACTGAAATGTTTAGCTAAATTTCTAAAGGTAAATACAAACTGTCACTCACTCCGCGGTGGCAGAACTTTTGCACCATCTGTGGGGTCACCATGAGTTGGAACCGACTCAATGGCAGTGAGTTTCTGTTTGAGTCTGTTAAGGCTGTGAGTTTGAAGTCATCTAATTTCAGTCATCTCTCATTTTTAGCTACAGTTACCTAATTTCAAAGTATGAAACAGTTTTGCATATCTCCTGGTATTGTTTAGTAGGTGAAATATATTAACCTATTAAGGCAGTACTTGCAAAATGCTAATGAATTTTTCTCTAATTGACTAATAAACAAAGTCATATCTACTTCTTTGTTTCCAGAGAGTGCATGTATAAGAATTCTTATGCTTCACTCTGACTTTCTGATTTATGAACTATTTTAATATATGTTATGCTACTTGATCTATGTACTATACCATCAATAAAACATCTACAATATTTAACCTCATTTTTCAGGCAAAGAAACCCAAATCCAGTAGTTGGGTAAATTTAGCAAGGCTTCGTGACTTTGAAATAGCAGCGTTGGTGCTAAATCAAGGTATCTTGACTCTGAATTCAGAAATTTCTACTCTCTGCCTCACTGCGTATGAATTTCCTCCGGCCCCCGAACCCCCATGATAGGGCCTTGAAATACAATTTATTTCAAGGCCTTGAAATACAAGACTAACGCAACTTGTGACCCTGAGCGTGCCACATACAGTGGAATTGTGCCGTTTAGTTGTTGAAATAAGAAGACAGAGAAATAAATGGTGCAAATGATGATTCTATTCACCGCCTAGTCAAAGAGCACGCACCGCTGAGTAATGGTGAGTCAGGAGGCACGAATCTATTGTGTCCTCAGCTGTCTGAGCTCTTGCATGGTTCTGATAGAGTGAAAATCCCCCTGGGCTGCGTGTAACGATATAGTTTAAGGATGCATCTGTTTTGCACAAAACTGCACTTTAATGCAAGCCAGAAATCTCAGATGTACTCAGCTAACAGAACAACAATCTCTGCCAATACTGAGCAACTTGGGAGATATTTAGAGATAATATTGATTACAAATGCTTTTACCTTATGTGAGGTGTAAGATGTCACTCTACCATGCAATGTTTAAATGAAGCATTGCCATCTGTACAATGAGTCTAATATGGCCTTTTTACCACTCTCAGGGGGAGTTCAGGTGAAGAAGTGGACAGAAAAGTGCCTTGAAAAAGATCACTGTACACAGATAGAGGATATAAATCTTGGTGGTCTAGTTAATGAAATCCCATGGGACAAAGTCTTTATACAACCTTTTATATTCTGCAGTGAACCTAGAGCCCCATAGAGGCCCCCACTTTAAGCCCCATTCCATTGCTTTTAGGCAGAAAATCTTCCTCAAAACTCCAAGGATGCATGCCCCATGAAGCTGTGGTTAAGGAGACCACTGCTAGGCAGCCATCAAAGGACCACTCTCCCTCACGCAGGAGTGCAGCATTCAAGCCACAGCAGCCTGCGCTCTGCAGACCTGGGGTCCAGCCTCAGCAGTGTCACTCGTGACTTGTCTGTCTGCACAGTCACCTCGCCTTCCTAGGTCTCCATCTCCTCACCTGTGCAGAAAGGAGGACACGAAGTAAATGGTAGCAGGGCCCTTTTCAGCGCTAGCACAGTGAGTCATTCATGGGCTGCGTAAGATTGCCTTTTGGGCAGAGACTTTGTTTTTCCTCCTTTGTTCATTCTTTCAGCATTTCCCCAGTCACAGTCATCTCAACACTTTGTTCAAAATGACTGACTTCTGAACTGATGCCGGGGGCTTAGGTGGAGAGCAAATGTTTTGAGAAGGATGAGGGCAATGGATGTATACATGTGCTTTACACAATGGATGTATGTACGGGTTGTGATAAGAGTTGTAGGAGCCCCTAAGAAAACGATTTTAAAAAATGGCTGACTTCTTTCTTCTTAGTTGCACAGCCGACCACGACTGGCATCCTGCATCGCTGCTTTTTCTTTGCATTCTCTTTTGCTGGGCGTTCCTGTTTGAATATTTTGGGTAAAGAGGTTCTCGAAACGTGTCTTCCTTTTAGTCTCTCACTGCTGTTTCAGTTTGTTAGCTGTCTAGCCTGCTCGATCCTCCATTCCCAAGAAACGTTGCTATGAGCTTGAATAGATGCCAGATTCTCACCCTTAAATGTATGGCTTTCATTAAGTAAGCCCTTTCACTTGTCCGTATAAATTCTATAGCTCCCTCCAACCCTTTAAGATCAGAACCGTTCCCATAAAGTTGGGAAGTACAATGGTTTTTTGACGAGGAGATAAGATCAAGTAAAAATGTTCATTGCTATTTTGTCTCTCTTGAGTATGTCTGTAAGGTGAAGGAAAGCATAGGCATTGGAAAGATTGAAAATCTGAAAGTTTGAGGGACACAAAAATAGTTAAACTTTGCTATTGGTAAACTCATAAATTAATTCCAGGCTTTCCATCAGCCACTCTGGTCATAACTCCAGACTCTCTTGGATAAGGTCAGTGTGTAAGAAATCCAAGAAACAGAGTGGAATAAATGCAGGTATAAATTTTCTAATGGAAGAAGTAAAACAAAACAAAACAAAACAAAACAAAACAAAACAAAACACGAAGGCTTTCCCCGCCAAGGTACAGAAAGGCTGACCTTTCATTGTCTGCATCAGAAAGTCCTTGGCTGTCAGGGAGTTTGAAATACTGTAGCAGTATCTGAGTCTTTGGATATTTTTTGATATGTGTGTACAGGAGGGTAAAGGTGCCAGCAGAGAAATGGGCAGTTTTGGGATTGGCGATTCCCTTGTGGATTGGCCTCTTCCCTTATGCCTTGACCTGGCTTTCTCGTCCCCTCCCCGACCCACTCTTCTTTACCCCACCTCTTTTACTTTTCCCACCTTGTAGGCTCTCTGACCTGTGGCTCCCGTTTTCATCTCACTGCAAAGCACATGGTAGTCCCCAGTACAATGCTATTGAAATGAAAATATAAATTACAGTTTTACTGTGCAAACTCGTCATTTTAAGGTAAAAGCCAAACGTACATCATGATTCCTAGATAAGGGCCTATGGGTGAAGGGATCGGGCTCTAAAAGGCAGAAAGAATTGGGAGAATTTAAACAAAACTGAGAAAGGATAGAAATCTAAGCCTGTGCATCCAAAGACAGCCAGGAAGCTGTCTTCCAGTAAACAGGAGCCAACTTGTGGTATAAAGGATGATTAAAAACCTATTTTTTACCTCAGTCTTAACTGTTGGTTACCTTGATGAGGTTCACCAGGAACTAGTATGCGGTTTACCTTTTCAATAAAAGTAATAATTAAAATGAATATATCTTAGTGTTTTATAATACTCTTTTCATCTACTTGTTTTTTTCCTTGGCCTTGATTTTGATGCAACTCTCTATATTATAACAGCCCAATAGTGAATATTTCAGTAAAAATCTCTAAAATTAGAGACTCAAAAAACATAACCAAACATTATTATGCCCAAACAAAACAAACGTTCCTTAATATAAAAAATATACCTATCCTGTAAGTGCTCATTCCCAATGGATGTATATATGAAGCGGCTTCAGAAATTTGTGCAAAATTTCATTATAAATTAATTCCATTTTCATGCACTTTTGAAGCTCCTTTGAATATGTGAATGTGCATGTATGTATATATATGTCTCTCTTTCTATATATATATGTATAATGTATTAGTCTGGGTATTTTAGAGAAACAAA